GGAATTCTGACTGAATCAGCTCTAAATTTTTAATTTGCAGGAAGTCAGCACTAATGAGAACTTTAGTTTTCCTTCAGAAGCCTTTTATTTTTGCTTCTGAAATGATGACTTATTAATATTATTAACAGCCAGGCTTAAGCAAAGGGTTCTGGAACAGCTTTTGTAAAGCTTGTTTGACCAGCCTATCTTAACCCCAGACAGTGTCAAAGGTTTTAGAGATGTGGAGGGCAGTTTATTATTGAATGCCATGCCCTTTAGGTAAGCAGGCTTCTGAATTAGTTAATATTTTCCCAGAACCTAACAGGGTTTATGTTTATCTCATAGCTATCAACCAACAGCATCATTAAAGGGGGAAAATGAAGCTGCTGGTGGTGCATGGTGAAATAATTTTTGCAGAAATAATGTTTTTATCATCAGTTGAAAGTAAACAAGATATCTTCAATAGGAATAAAGGAATACATTAAAGAAAACTTAAATATTCTTCTAAGAAAGCTGTATGCAGTCTATATAAAAAGTTACACTTTTATTTTGGTAAGAGAAAGATGCGTGGTTAAATTGCATTTTAAATCTAATGTAGAAGCAGCGAGTTTTTCCAGTTGCTTTGGTGACATGCTGCTGTCATTTGATATAGGCATGATAAAGATGAGATTGGCATTCACCATTCATAAATTTAAGAAAAGTCCTGCTTGTTATCTCTCAGATGGCCTATAAAAACTATTTATGGAAATATACTGCATTGCGTCCTAAATTTAAAAGATAGGAGATTCCCTCAGATTAAGAAAGGTACCATTGAGTGCAAGAGTATGCCTGCATGGTTATTGAACAGACTTAAGGAAGTTGTAGAAGGCAATAAGGATTTGTTCAAAAGGGTGGGGGTGTAGAGGAGCAGATTGCTAAAAACCTTAATCCAACAATAAATATGTCTTTAAATGTGTATCAGAAGCAGGAAACTGACCAGGGCGGCTGGCCAGATTTGCACTCTTCAGCGTGTCTGTATATCTACTGATAAAAAAGTGAAATGCTGGCTGTAGGTTTTGGAGGGCCCTTGGTTCCAGACTTCCTCCATGGACCACCCTCTCTCATTGAGTCTTCTCATCACTATTATCAACAGCTATTTCTGTTGTTCTTCTTCCAAATCATTAATCCAGTTTCAAAAAGCTTTTGACAGAGTACCTCATCAAAGACTCCTGAATACGCTTAGCAGTCATGGCGTAAAAGAAGTCATTTTGTGGAACACTGGTTATGAAACAGGAAACAGAGAATAGGAATAAATGGACAGGTCTCCCAGTGGAAGGATGTTGACAGTGGAGTTCCCCAACTTCTTCATAAATGATTTAGAATTAGAGCAGTGAAGTGGCCAAGTTTGCTGATGATCCTAAATTGTTCAGTGTGGTTGAAATAAATACAAATTGTGAAGAGTTCTGAAAGGATCTCTCCGAAGTGGGTGGTAAAATGGCAAATGCAATTCAATGTAAAGAGGTTGTTGTGAAATTAAAACAAACAAAACTTTAGATTCACCAAAAGTTCGAGCTCTTAGTACACCTGCTTTCGTGAGAGTCACAAGGGTCTTTAAGCTCAATCAGAATGCAATAACATTTATGCAAAACATTCAGTACACAAGGTACAACTTTAACTTTCCCAAATTCGCAATGGAAAAGAAGAAACTAGTTTCAACATTCCTCAACCTTTATAAATAAAATTGTTTGCCCTTTAGCATCAGCCTGCAAACAATATCTTCCCCATCCTAGAAGGTTGCAGTTAACATGTGAAAGCAGAACATTACAAAATATTTGTTCCAAAGCTAGCGGTCAGCGTCACCTTTAGTTCAAGCCAACCTGCTTTTTGGTTTAACTGGAGCAGAGTTCATATCTTTAATCCTTAACAACTGGTGGAAACCAATTTGTTTTGGGAGGAGCAGGGTATCAGAACACATATTTAGAAACATAGGTTTGGGGTTTGTGTTTCTTTTTGTAGCTACGGTTTGGTTTGGTTTGGTTTGGTTTGGTTTGTATAATGTTGTTGTTTTCCTTGTCTTCTTAATTTTTGTACATATTGTTATAAAATCAGATAGTTTGGGTTTTTGTAAATAAAGAGAAATTATTCCCAGTGGTGAAAATAAAAGCACATCAAGAAGAGTTTCAGAAGAATCTTTCTAAACTCGGTGAATGAACAACAAAATGGCAAATGAGGTTCAGTGAAAGTGTAAAGTGATGCATGTTGATGGGTGGGAGGAATCATAATTCAACATAAACACTGCAAAGTCAATGTGTGTGCGCTGTAAAAAAAGCTAATTTGTTGCTAGGGATTTTAAAGAAATGAATCAAAATTGAAGCTGTCAGTATAGTCATAGCTTTATACAAATATATGGTTAAACACCCTTAAAATACTGTGCACAATTTTGGTTCCCTCTTCTCAAAAAGGCTATTGTGCATCTGGAAATTCTGCATTGTAACTGAATGGCAGGATATTCTGGACAGATGATGCAGTATAGTATTTCATAGTGCAGAAATTAATAAACATAAGTATGTTAGGTGAATTAACTTCAGTGGGTCTGAACAAAATTTCATTGAATACTACTCCATGTTCTTAGGAGTCTAAAATGTTATATAAATCAGGGGCAAGGGGCTACCCAATTAATCTTTGGTTTCATGTGGAACAATCCCTTGGGATTCCATAGAAATCATCAAATGTCATCATTGTCTATTATGTTTGTATCATAATTATTGTGTGAGCCACTTTCCCCCCCAAAAGGGAGACTAAATTATGAAAATTGCAATAATTATGTTCAGTAATTGTGTTGTAGAAGGGTAGGCTTTCCACAACAACAGGGCAAAACGCAAGCAATGCAGGTCAATTTTACACTTTCTAGTCAGTGCCATTTCAGTGAATAAGCACCAAGGCATAGGCCTTTTAACTCTGGACCTGGTAGTAAATTAAACCCTTAAGGAAAAGAGCAGAAGTTAAAAATCACAATCAGCACAATGTAGCTTGCCATAACATGCATAATGCAGGCTTTCCAATTAGAACGCTGCAGTTTAAAAACTTTCTTTCTAGACTGATGAGAGAGCAATTATTTTAAGCAAAGTAAATGCAGTCTTCTGGCTCTGCTTCCAGTTACTTCTTGCTCCAATAGCAAACACAAAGCTTTTGAAAACCATAGTTACTATTGAATTTTGTATCAAAACAGCAGCAAAGAGAGCAATTTGTTGCTATAAACCCAGATCCTGCTAATCAATGGTATGCAGCCAGCCAAAACATTTGTAGAAGATGTAAGCAAAATCACATTTGGTAATCAATTTATAAAAGCAGTTCATTGGTCCTAAAGAAAAATCGATAGTGAGCTTAAGAATAGGTGATTGAAGATATGTAATATAACCATGCATTTTGTGTACTTTCAAGATGAACACTAACTAGGAAGTCTGTATTGGAGGACCATGTGAAGGTTTTCTTGCTATAAATTGGCTAATTCACATCTTTATGAAGATCTGTGGAAGAGGCTTGACTAATTATGCATGCTTATAATCACTTCCACTTCTACTTATTTTTCTACTCTTTTGTCCATTTGGTGTGAATTTCTATTTGGAATGGGTATACCTACATCATTTCTATTTAATGTGATTTTTTAAAAAGTGGGGGCACCTTTTTGTGTATGCCGATATCCTTGACACCAAGTAAGGACAGTTCTATTTTCCTTTCAAGTCTTCAGGCAGCACTTCTGTTGTCAGGAGTTCTGCTTCAGCTGATTTGCCAGCAGCCACCTTATTTGGAGGAAGCAGACTTGGCTACTGTCATTCATGCCAGAGTTACATCCACATTAATCTACCATAACACAATCTGTGTGGGGCTGCCTGTAATGTTCAGAAGCTTCAGCTGATCTGCAATGCAGCTGCCTGGTTGCTTGTGAGATAAAGTAATCAGACCATAAAACATTTATTCTGTAACTAGCTGTGTTGATTACCAGTGTATTTCTGGACTGCTGCCTTTCATGCATTCACTGGTTTGGGGCCTTGCTATCTGAAGAAAACGTACCCAGATCTGCCCAGGCCTTGACATTTGCCACAGAGACCCTTCTCACAGGCCCACAATTAAGAATCATCTGGTTAGCAACCACAGAACCTTTCAGTAGTAGCTACATCACATTGTAACACCCTCCCATGGGATGTGTGCCAGGCTCCTTTCCTGATTGTGTTCAAACAGGCGTTGTATACTTTAATTGTCTTATCTTTTGTTTTTATGATTTTGACTCTGAACTACCTTGATACTTCCTTTGGCCCTGAAAGGTGGTATAAAAATACCAAAATAGATAAATAAGTACAGTTTTTGTTGGCCTGTGAATCAGAAGCTGACCTTCACTTTGGCAATACAATCATATTCACACTTGCCGACTGAACTAGTTTTCCACATGGATTGATTTTTACATAAATTAAGAATAATTTAGATGAATTGCAAATAAATGCTCTAATTGACAAGATATTATAGATTGCTTAGAAAGTTTAAAGTAGGATAATTATTTAAAGCCTAATATGTATTCCCAGAATTCTGCTCCTACCTGCAGCTTTAAAGCAGGCTTCTTCAAAATGGTGTCCTCCAGATGTTTTTGGACTATAACTCATCACTCCAGCTAGCACTGGGACTGATAGGAGTTATAGCTCGAAACATATGGAGCCACCAGGCTGGATAAGGCTGTTTTAAACCTAGATAAAAATAACAAAGAAATAGTTGATAAAGAAGAATTTTCAGGAAGGAAGGATCTGGAAGTATAGTATAGTTTACTTTTATGCCTACTTATGGCCAAAATGTCCCCCTTTTAACTAAGGTTAAAATACAACTACCAAATTCAAACTGCTGATTATTAGAGACACATTCCAAGACAAGCAGTTAACATAGGTTAGCAGGAAAGATTGTAGATATAAATTATGTATTCCATGGTTGGTTGGTTGGTTGGTTGGTTGGTTGGTTGGTTGGTGATCACTGAATTCTTACTGTTTCTGTTCATGCAGGTTACTTCTCTGGGATTGTGACGACAGAAGCTACAGCTATTACATTGAAGTTTCCACTAACCAGCAGCAGTGGACTATGGTGGCTGACAGAACAAAGGTTTCCTGCAAGTGAGTTTATTACCTCATCCCTTTCAAATCTAATAGAATGCTTGTACATGACTAACCATCTGAAACAAAAAGGAGGGCAGAATTTGCAGGGAGGATCCAGGAAGGATTAAAATCAAATGGCTCCAGCCAGGTTAAAATTGAATGGAGGTTTCTGTTGTTGAACTAGCTGGAAAAGTTCCTTTGCTTGGCACCTAAGTACAGTCATTAGTCCCTTCGTCTAGGCAATGATTGTTGGCCTGAACAGTTAAGCACTGTCACCACAAAGCTAATGGGTAGGCCTTCATCATCTGGCTGGAAGCTGGCTGCAGACTGAGAAGCTGAGAACCAGAGACATGCTGTGACTAATGTAGAATCGAGACCTCTCAAGGTGTTAAAGCTTGAACACCTCCATTTTACACTCCGATTGTGTCTATGTGTGCATAAACCATTTATCCTAAAGACACCACAGTCTCTGCCGCCCCTCATTCTAAGGAAACTGAACCCTGGCTAAGCTCCTGCAATCCCTGGAATCTTGCTCCGCTTGGAGATTGGGGTGGCGTGTAACAGTATATTACTAACAAAATAAGTAAAAATGAAACATTACTGATGATAAGAGACTGGGTAGGAATTTCCCTTTGCAGTGCCCAGCAGTTTTACACCACTTTCCATGGTTAGGAGTTTGCTTTAACTGTGACAGGAAGAGCTGGAGAAACAAAACAATATTTTATTTCTTTATTTGCTGTATTTCTACTCCACCCTTCATTTTTAAGGGTCCCAGGGCAAATTACAGTGCAGTATTCACAGTGAAACAACAATAAAACCAATCATAGGACAATACCAGAACCAGCTAAAACACCAATACCATGAAACAACTGTATTTCTGCAGCTGTGGAATTGGTCTGTTACAGTTGGTCTCCAACTCCACTTTGATAGGCCAATTCATAATTAATTTTGACATTTGTTACACAAAGAAGCATGGAATCCTAGCTTAAACAGAAGATTCTTCTAGTGACTCCAACTTGAAAAGTGAATTATTTGAGCAAAAGCAGTCTGCTTCTGCTGATGTTTTGTAGTGCTTCTGTTGCTGTTTCATATGTGCTTGGATAATGGCAGTCTCCTTCCTTGCCAATTCCTGTGTGCCTAATCTTGCATTGAAGATCTAATCCCTTGTTCATGTCATGAATTTATAGCATGAAGAATGATTGCAAAGTCCCAACTAGCTAGTTCACAGCAGGAAAAATAAGACAGACCGAAGGTAGCAAACACAAACTTCAACAAGCCTCTCTGATCAAGTGAGAGTGGCAAAGAAAATAATGCAGAGAGGGAGGGAGTAAAAGTAAATGGAATTCAGTTTGCATGTCATAGACTGCATTTGATAGTCTAACCAAGTGTGAAAACTTCTTTTCAAGTCTGCTTCTGCTGCCTTTGGTCGATTTAATGGTATTTTAATGTAGTATTTTGTGTAAATTAATAATTTAGTACTCAAAGCCTGAAGTGACAGGCTATTTCTAAACTCCTCTTTTTACTCAGTCTCAAAAGGCTGGCAATGGAAATGATGGTATGTTTATTATCTTCACAGGAAAGCTTTCTGTCCTCCTTACATGGAAGCCAATTAATGCACAGTGATTGTATAATTGTCATTTTAAATGCTTCATATAGGCTTTACAAAACCCTGCTTTCTGGCTAACTTCTGTTGTTTTCCACGCAGTATGACAGTAATGAAATCGATTCATGTTCTGTTCTGTCTAAAGGGCAAATATTTCTGATAAGTTTGCTTTGGTTTGTTAAGCTTGAACAATAGACATGTATGCTTGTTAAAAGATTTTGCGGATGAAGAGTCTAGAACTTGGATTAAAAGCTAAAAAAAATGCAGTTAGTAGGGCTAAGATTGCTGCTATGATTAATTCTTTAAATGAGCATCTGCCTAAGACACTATGAACAATCAGGAAACATTACTGTCAGTTTAAAGGTTGGTCTTTGAAGTTTTTTGTTTGTTCTGCTATGAAACGCATACTGTTAATTGCATACTGAGCTGCTCTGTTGTCTTACGGGATTTGGCTACATATGATCAATCAAGTCCAGTGGTCCACTGATTGGCATATGAGTTCCTGGAGCAAGAATCCCCAACCTTTTTGGATCTGTGGGGACACTTGGAATTTTCAAACTGTGTTGTGAGCAGCACCACGAAATGGCTGGAGTGAGAAGACGGGTTCTCACAAAATGGCTGTCACTGGAGGTGTGCCCTGCCAGAAACAGTGGATGTGCTCTCTGCGTGCATTCGTTCCTGCTCTCTCCCCCTCTCTCTCTCCCAGACCCAAAGAATACATAAACACAGACGGCCTCAGAGTGAGAGAAACAGTCACAGGCTCAAACAGGGGAAACCAAAACATGCAGAAATTTAGAAAGGGAGAGAAAACACACATGGGCTGGGGCACACATGGGCATCCAGAGAGAGAACGCTCAGAAACATGTTTTGTTCTCTTGTCTCCCCCCTTGGCTAGGCTTACTTTTTCTGTTTATCTTTTGAAACCTTCCTTTGCTTCCAGGCTTTTGGTGGTATATGATGACTCACTATTATGTCAGCCGAGCATTTGATAATTGACTTGCTTGTTGGGTGATGATTTTTCCATTATTTGTCGACAGTGGTGCAATGTCTCTTGTTGAGGACTCTGTGTGCATTTTTCAAAAAAAACTTGGTTGTAGGTCACCTTGAGTCCACTCTGTAAGGCAGCTAACAAATTGAATAAATTATAAGAAAGTAATATAATAATCTGGCCTATCAAGTACTGATACTGGAGAAAGAGAAAATGGGCTATCCTTTTAAAGTTGGCTTATCCTAGACTGTTGAAGATGTATTTCTGTGTGTGACGTTCTTTGTACTTTCATAGGCGCCGACTCCATGAGGCCTGAGGGGGCCCGAGCCCCCTCAAAAATTCGTTTGGGGGGGCTCAGCCCCCCCAATAATCTCGGGCGCCCCTCCAGCAGAGCGCCGCCGCTGTCCCTTCCTCCGCCTCCGGCTCCTGGGGCTGGGGGCTTTCTCCGGCCGGCGGGGCGGAGCTTCCCAGGGCCCCACCCAGCGGCCGCGCCTGCAAAAGTTGCAGCCCGAAGCGGCAACAGCAACAGCCCGCGGAGCAGCAGAAGTTCTTCGGAGAGAGCCGCTGCTGCGCCGCCACCAGCCCCAACGTCACCATGTGAGCCCCATTCGCAGGCGGAGGGGGACCGATCCTGATCTGGGGGCGGTGGGCGGGCGTCGGGGCTCCCCGCTAGCTGCCCTGCTTGGGGCGGCGCCTCCCCGGCCTTAGGCCCCGGCCCGCAGCCCGGTTGCTCTCCCTCCCTTTCGCTTTTGCACCCCGGCGCGCTGGCCCGTCCCGTTGCTCCTGGCCGCCACGGAGGGTAGTGAAAGTCGGCCGGACACACTCTCGTTTCTTTTCCCAGGCTTGCGTGGCGTGGGCAGAGGCGCGGCCTCTAGGCATAGGCAGAGTGCCTTCGGGGACGCGTCTCCACCGACGCACAGAACGGCTGCAGCCCTAAAGTGGCCCGCTGCCGAAGTTGCGTTCTCACGCCTCTCCAAGGCTAGTCCTCCTCGGAGTAGACGCTACTGGCTTAAGTGCATTAATTTCACTGCGCCTGCTCCAAGTAAAACTTTTTGGGCAGCAGCCCCATGTCTACTTGGCAGTAAATCGCCTTGAATTCCATGCTGGGTTACGGCGGAAGCCTTAAAGGAAAGGGATGCACCCCCGCCTCCTCCCCACCTGCTCCCTCGCCAGCCAGCCAGCCAGCCATCCGCGCGCCCTAGCCGGAGAGCCCCGGCCGTCCCCGTCGCACAATCGGCTGGATCTCCCTTCAGCAGGCCGTGCTCACAACTCGGCCCAGGGACCCCCCAGCAGCGGATCTCCGGCCCAGCTGAAGAATCCGGCAACAAGCCCCCTCCTCCCCAATCGCTCCGCCGAAATACGCTCCAAAACCCCCCAGATAGGCCGCCGGCCGCCAAGTCTCGTGGCGCCCTGAGCGAGGGTCTCTCCCCAACACCGCCACCTCAAACTGCGTTCTCCCGGCTACCCGAGCGAACCAGCGGCAGGACCCCGGTATGGCCCCCCCCCAATATTTTTTATAAGTCGGCGCCCTTGTGTACTTTTGTCATATTTATGGAAATTTGCTGTATTTGTACAGATGCCCAATGGCCCTTAGGGTGAAGCTTTTCTATATATTAGAAGAAGTTGGTTTTGGGTTTTTTACGTAGAATATTTCTTGGTTCACAGAGAGGCTGCTACCTGTGACTGTTCTGAGACTATATGTATAGTTACATTTCACATTTTTGTTTGAGAATTTCAAAGATAACTTGCTGTTGTGTGTGTGTGCATGTGTGGAGAGAGACAGAAAGACATAGAATGGATTTAATTTCAAAATATGATTTGCCTTCTGTGCTATAGGATTATTAATCTTGATATTCTACAGAGAAAAGAGAGTTGACAGGCCCAAATATCATGCACTAAAAGTGTGTCTTCGCATCAAATACCAGCCTTAAATCAGTGTTCTGGGAGAGGTGCATTTTTCCTCATAACTACAGGGAGAATTCTTTTCAATTAACTTTCTTATAGTGAGTGCTGGACTATTAGTGAGAACTGTAGAGGTTCACAGTTAGCTCTATTCCTATAGTGGAAAGAAAAATGTCTTGAAAAATAATTAGAATGAAATATGTAACTGGTTATTTCAAATCAATACATAAACCTGAACATTATTTGCCTTCACAGTTCCTGGCCATATGTAGTTTTCTATCTATTCTCTCCCCTTAGATTCCATTCTATAGCTTTCTTACTCCTGTGATCTCCCCCCCCCCCATTTTCTTGGGCCTATCTACTGCCCAGCTCCTGTTTAGGATCAGAACAGCTCTGTCAATGGGCATCTGCACATTACAGCAGCCCAGCCAATTCTTGCCAAAGCATTCACCGCCAACGATACATGTTGGATGAGTTTTTAAGAAAACAAAGGGAAAATTGAACACCAGATGAAGTGTTTTCTCA